TTATAGCTAAATTATTTGGTAAATGTAATTTAAATTAATATATTAATACATAAAAATAGTTCTATTAAAATTTTAAATTAACATTAATTTATTTTTTTTTTACTTTAAAAAATATGTTATTCTGACTTTAGTAAATTACTTAAACACAACTGAAGTAATATTTAAATGAAAAAAAATATTTACATATTTATAGTTATAAAATAATATATAATAGTGCATTCAGTTAATATTTTTGATTTTCTACTAAAAAAAATACGACAATAATATCGTATATTTTAAAATGTATTTCTTATACATTTATTCTTTTACATTTATTTGCGTTATTAATTGCAACATCAGCATAGATGAAAAAATTGTAAAGTTAAACAGTCTTGTGAGTAATCCTCATTGGTTTAAAAATCGCATACTACCCACTGAACATATTAATGGAGAGTGCCGCAAAATTCCGTTCAATGAATTATTTTCAAAAACAAATGGTGCAGTATTTACTAATGAAAATTATTCAATTAAAATGAAACGTTTCCATACTATGTTGAGCTGTTCTTTTGCTTTAGGTTTAGATCATGTCGCTAAATTAATGCATGATTTATGGAATTACTGTTATAGGATTTCTAAACCTGAAGAAAAATGTTCTTCTGAAAAAAGATGTTCTTCTGAAGAAAGTGATGATGGTTCTAGTGAAGAATTTAATGTTACAGAATACTGTAATAATAAAAAAATTAATTGTTTAGATCCTAGTGGACCTGCCCTAATACGACAAATACTTTCATATTTTATACTATCTGCAGACACCGAAGAAGAAGCATGTATTTTACCAGCTTTAGATATCATGGCACAATTTGCAAACAATACATTTTTAACTGATTCTTCTATAGATGAAAAAATGTCGAAAATGAAAACTATCTTAGCTGATTTTATAAATAATAATTGTTGGGTTAATGTAAATAATACATTTTCCAAATCAATAATATTTTATGAGATTTTTGAAACAAATAATTGTGAAAATAATACTACAAATGTACAAGCAAAAGAATTAGTAAGATTGAAGAAATATTTTATGAAAATAAATGAAGAATTCAATTTTGAAAAATTTATAAAAATTCAACCTTAATTTATTATCAAGAATAATTTCATGGTTAATTTAATTATTAGATCCTTTTAAATATCTTAGTTGTTAGAAACAATAAAATTAAATGATGTTATTTTTAATTGTTAGACTAGTATAAAATCAATTATTTATTGGTGTTTGCACATATTTTATTAAAAAAAAATTCAAGATTTATTTCTTATTATTATGATTATTACTGTAATTAGTTACGATTTGTCGAAAATAATAAAAAAAAATATAGATGTGTTAAAAAAAAATAGTAATTTCTTTTAAACCATATTCATTTCGAATCCAAAGTAAATTATATGTGACTTGTATCAAAACTTATTTAAGATAAAATGCAATTTTGTGATGGTTAGGACGTGGATAAGGTAGTGCTGCGCTCTATGTGCGATAACTATACTTGCGAGCAGCGATGCTCACGCTTTCTTATCCTTGTTAGGTTATGTTTTTATTTTGTACCAAGATGGTAATTTTTAAGTGTTAAACATAATTTTCGGTCAACATTTCCAAATGTGGTTAAAATTTTTCGGAAACAATGTAATTAGCAAGATCTCTTTCAATATTTAAATTTGTAAAACTTTGGTGCAACAAGCTGCTTTGTAACCAGTTTTTCAACATCCTCAATGAGGAAAAACTTTGATCACACGTCGCAGAATTAACCAGTATAGTTAGGTAGGAACCTGTATTAACTTGTATACATTAGAAAATATTTCTTTATTTTTATATTTCTTTTATTTCATCTTTATAGTTTTGTAAGCAATTCTTTGCTACTAGCTGATTTTAAGCATTCGGTGTTTGAATTTATTAAAAAAGTTCCACGATATCCTATTTTCTTATTTATATTCTGATTACAAGTTTTAAGTTTTAGAAGTGTAATATATGAATAAATATACAAGGGAAATGATTTTATTTAAAAAAAAGCATGTGGCATAAAAGAAAAATATAAATAGTACTTATCTTAAAAAAATTATAATGATCCATACATTTTTCAAAAAATTATAACATTATAAAGTTAAAAATATAAGAAGTTAATATAAGAATTTTTTTACAAAAATCATATTTGATGTCCGTTTTCACTATGAAAATCATACAAAGTCCAAAATTTTTTTTTTTATAATAAAGTGCATTACATTATCTTTAATTTAAGATATATATAAAAGTGTGCAGACTTTCCGGAACACTTTAAAAAGTTAAAGTGTAAAATTAATTTTTTGTGAAAAAATTGTAATTTTAAATCCCCCCTATGGGCAGATAAATAGTCAGATTTATAAAAAATTATACTAAATGATAGGTAAAAACATCAAGCATCTATAAAAAAAAAAAAATTATTGATCC